TGTATGAGAAAAAATAGTTCAATATTTTGCATGAGCGCTTCATCAAGTAGGTATTGCACATGTCGAATTCCACTTCATTCGAGTTAGGGAAAGAAAGACTTAAGGAATGGGTTTCTAGAAGCTCCCCAACAGCGCGGGGTTGAGGAATGGCCGGCAGTGCGAGGGTTAGTAGTATTGGATGCTTCGAGTAGAGATGTAGAGATGTTGGATGTGGGTGTACGTTGGTATTGGATGGTGGAGGAAAAGTTGGCATATGTTTTGCTTATATATCCATGACATATAACTTGCCTTGTGATGATTTTTCGCGTGCTTTTAAGCAGTGACCACTGTGCAACGTTCACAAATCGGGAGCATGCTACAAGTTGTGAAGATGTTTGGAATAGAAAGCTTCAGACAAAGGCAAAACCTTGAAAAACATGATTTGTGGTCCGCGTTGCCCATGCCAAAATATATCATTTATATCATATTGTATTTATAATTTACATTATATTATAGTTACATTATTTATATTTATTACATTCATATTATTTACATTATTCTATATCTATATTATCTATCAGTTATTGCTAAAAGCGTTGACACAAATAAACCTAACATCAGACAAATCGATCACAGTTAACTCTACATGACATGTGGCTGCTAATGTGTTCACGAGATGCTGTCAAGTAATCTCAAACCAACCCGCAAATTTGTGTTGCTTACACCGTACGGGAACAAATCACGCCTCTACCGGAGTCCATTATTTCTAGAGGCATTAAAGTGCGCACGGCGAAGTGTCCAAATGTCTCCAGGGTCAATATGACAGTCACGCGTGATGAGTGACATCACGGGTTGTGTGACTGTATGACGCCACTCATCCTGACATCGAGGGAGCGGTAGACCCGCACCTCTTTTTGGTGATCAACGCTGTAACTTTTAACGCCTTTGTTGTAATTGAAAACCCGCTTACCAATGGTATGCGTTATATTTAACCTGTTTTCGTACGGGTGCCCCCTGGGCCACTGCTACCCCCTTCGCCCCTCCCTTTTACGGTGGTTCGTTGCAGTTGCACTCCAGTCTGTTAAATCCGTGACAAAGTGCGTTCTGACATTTAGTGACTTGCCAGGCACTAGTTTTACAAAAAAGGAAAATCAGAGCTCCCTCGCCACTGGAGGCATCTCAGGAACGGTTTAAGGGAGGCGTGAAGGAAAACTCTGGGGATGATCGGGATCAATGCGAATGTGCCGTCCTCGGTCCTCGGACCCTAATCGGCCGACGCTTGGCTGGAGTGAGATGTAGCAAGTCTCTGTAACGGCACATCTCATTTAGTTGACGCCTGATGCGCCCTCGCCAATGGCGTATCCTCACCAACGACAGGTCAGTCGGACCAAACAATGCTCTCGCTCTGGGATTCCGTATCCGGCGCTGGTACCCAGTGACGATGGAAAACTAGCTCAGCGTCTTTTCTCAGACCTTGGAGACGACAAAAGAAGCAGAGGTGAACGAAACAAAGTAAATTTTACAGCGAAACAGGGGTGCATCACCTGTAAGCATGCAATTGTTTAGGTTTTAAAAGATTTGTTCCAATTTTTTGTTAACGGATTGAATTTTAGGCTCCGAGCCCACCTTAAACAATGCTTGTTGCGTGAGCCCGGGTCCCTAACATCCGTTGTAAAATTTCAAGCTAATGGTAGAACTTGATGGCAAAAAGGCAACGTGCCGCAACGCTCAACAGGGTCCGTCCTATCGACCTCTGTCGGCCTGACCTTTGGCGCGGTCGCTGCCGCTGACCACAGCCCACAACGGTCAAGGCCAAATAGCGAGTGCCCAGTGACTTGAACCCAATTCGCGCCATACATGCGGGGATCCGAACGCAGGTGCTGTAATCAATGGAGCTTTCTGAGCGGTCTCCCTGTGATGTCATTTGGTCCTCAACATAGCAATCGTCCCCGCTCCCCCGTTTCTTCCGGCTCTGGCTTTAGAGGCTGCCACAAGTTCCGGACGACCAAAGACCGCCTGAGGGGAAGGTCAGCAGCCCTCCTCGCCGTCACGCGGGCCCGTCTTTAAGCCGGTCCGCCATAGTTGAGCAGCTCGAGGTGTTGCCATGGCGACAGGACACGCTTCTGATCAAAGCAACAAGAAGACGGGAGCATTAGCCATCCGCTGGAACCTACGAGGGTTAATCGCCACGCTGGACGAAGCGGACCGTGACCCGTGACCTATGACCCCTTGACCCGTGACCTGTGACCCGGGTCACGGGTCATGTGTTACGTACCCCGTGAACAGTGACACACGACCCGTTGACATCTTGATCCGTGACCTATGACCTGTGACCACTGACCAGAGGCCCGTAACCTGTGACCCGTGACCACTGACCAGAGACCCGTGACCTGTGACCCGTGACTAGTGACCCGTGACCTGTGATCTGTGATCGTGCGATGGAGCCGTGACCCGATCCACCGAGGCCTTTAGCAGCCCGTGCGGGGGCCGGCGCGCTAACGTCAGCCATTTCAAGACCGCCTCCCCAAACAAGGTCGCTCCCATGGCTTCGCATCTGGGGACCCTTTCTCTCCCCGCCGTGGGAGACCGGTCATTGTTGATCATCCATACAGGCGGTTCGATTGCGAACAGGCGGAAGTTGGCGGACTGTGGCTGAGAGCTTCAAAAAGTGCACGGGTAGAAGATGCACGTGGTGCGTGGCCTGTGTGCCATCCCGCGCACTGACCAGGCCTACTCATCATCGTGCTTGGAGACCAAAGAAGATCCCAGGATACGAGCCCAGGGTCACATAACCATGAAACCCCATGGATCCTGAATCTACCCATCCTTGGGATTCTGGATCCAGCCTATGGGATCCCGGATCCATTTTCCGGATCCACGAACATGGCGACTCACGTCTGTGTCGGGTACAGCGGAATCCCCATACGCCGAACCACATTCCACAACATCATCCGGCATCCGGCTCACCGACCAATAGGCTTCTCGAGCAAATATTGCTCTCGAGAGGACGCGTGCGCGGAGGCGCTTCCAGCGACATCAGAGGCGCACACTCGCAACAACGCGCAGCGACAGCCAGCACGGCGGACCTCCAGCGGGACGGGCAGCCGAGGACGTCCCGAAAACCCCAAGACATGTTATTACAAACAAGATAACTGCATTATCAAACAATGTCAAGTTGTCGATGACAAAGCACGAAATGCATAAATAACAAACGCTGGAAAAACGCTGCAGGTGGAAGCGCGGTGCCTGGGGCCGGTTTTGGGGAAGAGAGTAAGGGGGGCTGTGGTCTTCTGGCACTCTGCACGATAACGTCGGATTCATCTTCTAAAGCAATACTTTGGGTGTATAGCATGGGCATTAACCAGAGTGCAGTCATGCCTTACGGCTTAGGGACAAATATTTTGAAGCAAAATATATCTTGCCATCCTGATGTCCATGCGGTGAAAGGCTGTCCATGAACAGTTCCAGCGGGTTCAGCGTGGCTGTTTTGTGCATCTCCATCAGCATCGGTGATGGCGGGTGATTTCATCACGTATGCGATTTGCACTGCCATCCAATAACACCAATGATAACACGTCTTGAGCAGCTTGCCAGTCGGCAGTGGTGCTAATTTGCATGTTTATTCACTAGAGCTGTGATCGTGCATTCTGTGGGTCAGCACAGTTTCGGGAATTAGCGTTATTCTATGCCCTTTTGGAATCGTTCTGAACCCGCAGAAGCTGCAACGGAAGCTGCTGGTCTGCACGCCCCCACTGCACGCCTCCCTCCCCCACCGTGTCCACATGCCCCCCCTACTACACGCCCCCCCTCCCCCCCCCCCCCCCAGTCGACACCGCCCCCACACTGCACCGCCCCTTTCCTGTCAAACATGCCCCACTGCTATGCCCCTTCCCCGGCCAGCACGCCCAAACCGTACACCCCTTCCCGGTAGTGCCCGCCCCACACCCACGCCTTTCCCACGTGGCCGCTGCTGGCACGCGATGATCTCGTCTGCACGCGGTCCTGGCCGCTCGCCTTGCAACATGGTCTGCACTTTCTCCCCGCCGTTGCTTGGCGGATAGAATGTCGCACCGCCTGAAAGATGGGGTCGATGACAGTCATTTGACAGCCGTGTGTCAGATGGCTGTCATCACACGGCTGTCCGATGTCATTCATGCCATCTACACATCACAGTGTGCTGCCGTTCAGACACGTTAAGTGGACTAAGCTATCATCAGGAAACAACGCAAATTACCTGAGTCGTGGGAAAGGTTTTTACTACGAATGATTGAATACGAATGTAAATGAACGTGAAGGGATAATGACTGGTTTCTTTACCCGCCACGCAGCTCGGTGTCATATTTTCTTTACAGAGCAGTGGTTTTTCCCACAGTATGTTCTCCTTCTTCAGCGAGCCGCGTCATATGTGCGGGCACGCTGCCGCGATCGATCGAACGTGACGGCTGGGGTGTGTTCGGTCAGAGAATGTGTTCTGTCAGTAAGACGGGTCGCTCGTGTCTAATTCATAATCTGGTGTGTTCTTGCAGGCTTCGCGGTTCGGATGTATGGGAGAACCTTCTGACCAGGTGTCGTGGCCCTGTGGTCTGACGGCCCGCTCTGATCTGACCTTTGTGATCTGATCTGACCTTGTGTGACCTGATCTGATCTTGTGGACCTGGTATGACCTAGTCTGATCTGACCTCATTTTGAAGCCCATATTACAACTTATCGTCTCGACTGCCCTGATCTTACCTGGTCTCGGACAACATCGTCAGACGTAAGCTTGCGAATACCAGCACATATCGCACCTGAGCTGAAACTGGATGTTCACCGTCCTGCCCTCTGAACTCCCACGGCTCCTCTGAATCCCTGTCCCCTCTGAGCTCCTCTGATCCTCTGGTCTCCTCTGACCCTCCTCTGACCCCCGTCACCCCAGCTGTCAGTCCCCTGACCCTGACCCAGTCGGTGATGGGGCAAGTCAGGGGTGCTCCCGCTGGTGGCGGGCGACGCTCCTGCTGCTGACCTGCTCCCAACTTGACCCGGGGCCAGGTCGAGTTCCCGGGCCGGTGCCCACCAACGCCCATCATACGCGACTTCGACTGGTACAGGTCAGTGGATTATTCTCCTCTCCTGCCACGACGAGAATTTACAATGAACACTGTGTTCTGCACTTCTTGCACTGGTTGTCACCTCTTACCTATATATATATATATATATATATAGTATACTATATATATATATATATGTATATATATATATATATATAATATATATATATATAATATATATACGTACATGTATAGTCAGAACTTCACTCATTACATCGCATTTTGCAGTACGGAAACCTAAATGCGTGGATAGATGAAACAGGGCACCGACGGAATACCTAGTCAAAAACTGGTCTAGGACATGGATAATGCGCAGCAAAAATATTTGTGCACAAGCACAGCATTCCTCCCCAGCCTGGTATATATACGATCGCAATGTTTCGTCTTTTCCTCCCGGCCCCCGCTCGTTATACGTCTTGCTTCTGCTCGACAGGTATATGGGAAGATGGAATGACGTCTTTCGCTACTTTGTATTTTATCAAACAATCGGCAAGTGCTGGAGTGGTACTTACAGCATGCGCAAAAGTGGTCAGGTAAGGATGGTGAACCTGCTTCATTCGTCTCTGACACATCAGCTTAGAATCGTGTTAGCAGTCGCATGATCACGAAATAGACATAGTGAAACACCCAAAGCTGCCTGAGCTGAAGTGCAGATCGCGTGAGCCTCGCACCCCCTTATAACATATTAAAATGTACGGCAGGTGTAACAAAAAGACGAAGTTTTGGAAGGAGATGATTATGCCAAAAAATACACAAACATCTGCCAAAATTTCAACTTTAACGAGATACTTGATAACTTCGAGGAGGCAGCATACTGCATGTGTTTCGACGGTGCGTGGATTTTATGTTTATATATAATATGCCCCCCCCCAAAAAAAAAACTTGTGTTGCCTTCCAAAAATCTTGTGCTGCCTTTATGAAGGCAACACAAGCTTTTTGCTAATAAAACAAAAACAAAAAAACAGCTTTTGGCAGGCGATCGGATAGGCTGGTTCTTCAGGGGATAGGAGCATTCCCTCTTAGTTTTTGGCGTGGGAATCTTTGCCATCTGCGCTGCCGGTGTCACACCGTGCGGTGATAAGTCAGAGATGATTGGCACGCTGCATCTCGAAATTGTCTCTGTATTTGTGGGAATTGTCTTCGGTTGGTCAAGAGAAATGGCAGACAATGGGGCATTTTAGCTGATGGTGTCATTTTAGGGCAATCTGCCGAGTGGGATTGGCCACAGCTTTGGAGGATTGCCCGTTTTAAAAGCGAACGCTACGTGCTAGCAGGAAAAGCATGTCTTCCAGCCACCGTGCTACCGGCTAACTTCGGTCGGTGCCGCCCGTCACACACTGCTGACGTTGCGAGTACTGGCTGCGGTGCGAGCGTATCACACGAGATAACGTAGGTGGTTGTATGACAGAAAATTAGATGATGATCGCACAATCAGCTGGTTGCGACAGCGGCAGAAAGTCCCGTGCAAGACCCATTCAATCTAGCAACATGCTGAGCCTGTGAAGCAACTACGTTTGCAAGACGAACGCGTTCACAAACTAGCCCGATTGCTCGCAAGGGAGATTGTGTGCAGGCAAGATTGCTGTGCATGGCGCGGCTGTAGACTCTGACGTAAGAACTCAGCCAGGTGCTTTACGAGAGCTGGCCCACTCGCACAGCACCCCTGCTTTTCCCACAAAGCCAATTACTTCAATGATAAAACAGACGGCAAACGCAAAACCCTTCCACTGATGGTAAGAAAACGGTAAAATATCATTGCGAAGGCTTCAAGCATACAATCTTTCCATCCCGAAAGTTCGCTTAGTTACAGGGCCCCCTCTGGATCACCCCCCCCCCCCCCCGTTAGTGGCGGCATGGGTTCGCTTCGCTTTAGGCGCTTGCTAGTTGTCTCCAACTGAGATCGCATGAGGCCGATTCCAGCAGCCGCGTCAAAGGTCAGCTGACAGCAGAAGCCAGTATAGACCGTGCCGAGCATTGCGGCACGTTGAGATCCAATCAGAAAATGACCGCCGGTGATCCAGCCTTTCGCTATCGATGGTGAGCGTCAGGCCTCACGCAACAAATAGTGCTTCGCGTGAGCGCTGACTCCAAAATTGTATCCACTCAAAGCGTACACACTATAGTTTCCAAAAAAGCTGAAGTGAAGCAAACGCGTAATGTGAATGTGCTAGGGGCGTTGGAATGCATCCAGTGTTCTGAATGACATCCCTGTTGTTCTTTGCCCCGGCTATCGATAACTGTGGCGAACGATGACTTGCGCTAAATTCACTTGAGTAATGGGTTTGGGTGGTCCGCTGACCGTCGATGTGGAGACGATTTATCGCACCAGAACCAGGGTTGCAATGAAAGGGGGGGGGGGGCCTTCCCTTATACCCAGATTTATTTGTTTCTTGCCACAGATGGTTTTTTTTTAAATGGGTGTAACGCGTGCTCACTGAACTCCGTTTCCCGCCCCGTCCACCCCCTGTTAAGGAAATCCTAGCCGCGCCCCTGACCAGAACGAGCACAGTTTGATTCGAGACACGACCCAGCGCTGACTGAGTCGGAACTTTCACTTCTCATCTTGGAGAAGCGAAGCTTTCAGAGAAATGTTGAAGGTGCAGAGATAGTTTTTGGGCCCATTCTTATTATACAACACCATGAAGCCTATGCTAATCTTCTGAAAAGCTGAGAAGCCCTAGACCTGTGCCCATCCTTTGGTGTTTGATTTGTGCAAGACAAGCGACGGCGTAGCGGCGAACGAAAGGTGTCAGCATTGTTTAACTGCGGGCTACCAAACCGCCTCAAACCGACTTTGCCATTCATAGACAGTTCGTTTGCACCAACGCTGGCTTTCTTCCGTGCACAGGTACAGGTCACCTTGCGTTTGCGAGATAAGCTGCTCAGCAAGCCGCTCAAGATCACCGTGAATGTGAACCAGCAGAGTCCGTACACGCCCAACAAGCTGTTCTACACGATCCCGGGAGTGCCGCTGCTCAGTGGGGGGTGAACGAGAGGTCGCCGTCCTCACCTCTCGAGTAGACACAGTCCCGTGCAGAAAATGTCACCGGCGGAATTGTCACGCGCAGACGCTGTCACCCACTGCCTTTGCCACCCACTGTCACCCGCTGTCTTTGTTGATATTGTCAAGCGCAGACTTGGGTGTGGCCACGTCACACCCAAGTGGTTGTGACGTGGTGGTGCCTACCACCACGTCACTGACATTGGTGGTAGGGGTCACAAGTCGGGATTGTGGAATCAAACTGAAATGGGGGAACAATCTCACCTGAAAAAGGATATTTTTGAATGGCGAAGTACGGAAGATGTGCATTGTACGGACAACACAAGGCATGTAACTCCATTTGGAGAAAAGGGGGACATGTCGCTCCCTTTGCTCCCGGTCATGACATCCATGCATGCGGACAGGATCTCGTGCTTTAATGCGGACAATGGCACGTGCGGGCAGCATCTCGTACGGACACCGTCTTGCACGGGTAGTGTCTTGTAAGGAAGGTGTCTCGTAAAGACAGTATTTCGTACAGACAGTGCCACGTGTAAACAATGTCATGTGTAGTCTGTGCTACGTGTGGACAATGTACGTGCGGGTCCGTGCCACGTGCGAACAATGTCACGTGCAGGCAGTGCCACGTGTAGACAATGTCACAATATCACACGCAATTAGTGCCACGTGCGGACGGGGACACGCACAGGTGGTGGCGAACGGAGACGGTAGTACTCGTGGTGTCCTTCACTACACGTTTTCGCGCTCACTGTTTCTCTCCCCTTTCCGCTTTCCCTATGGCATCACGCCTCAGGTTTACGGGAGTCATCTCTGCCTGCGATGCCCAAGAGATATAGCAAAAATAATTATTTCAGGAGCATGAAAACACTCAAAAGGTAGCATGCCTTTTTTTATTAAGTCCTGACGTTAATGTTTTCCTGAATTACCACAAGAATAATGCTGAACGTCCGTTAAAAGTGGATGGGTAAGGTTAGCGCCCCTGTCCAAAACCCCTGTCCTTACAGCTATGCATCTACGCAGTGCATGGTTGCCGCGCCGTGCTCGCGTGTCTGCAAAGCGAAGTAACGCTTTAAAGCGTTTGTTTGCAGAGACAATTACGAGGTTCTCCGAACGGATTATGACAACTGGACGATCGAGTACTCGTGCAGAAACAAGCCATACGGAAGGTAAGACGTGGGAAAAAATTCGGACATTCAAGACATTTCCAGTTCACAGAAGGTTACATCTTCTGCAAGGACACGCAACCAAATTGCTCCAGCATGAATAAGGCATTACCGCGATCCAAACACCGTCAGCCAAGTTATCGGCATAAACACGATGTACCGTAGTTGAATGACAAATAGCTGATAGTCTAGAACGGTGTTCGCAAGACTATTACAGAATGGTTGACGAGCTGCTTCTAAAGGCACTACAAACAATAAGCTTGTAGGACCTAACCCACGTCATCTCTCCTCGACTAACTCGATGGCATCCGGAGATCGACCAGACACCGACCTGGTAACACCGCGCGGGTAATGTCGCTAGATCACCTGCGTGACCTAGTGACACGGCGGGGGAAAGTCGCTAGATCGCCTGCTATCGAGCGGCCCTGACGCCTCCTCCCTCGCCGGCAGGCACGCGAAGCAGGTGTGGATCCTCACCCGGTCACCACACCCTAGCCGAGCCGTGCTTCGCAAGGCGTTTCTACGCGCTTCGTGACCTCGGCATTCGAATCACGCCGTTTCGGCGGAGCGACCAGTCGTGCTCCAGGACGCCCTACGGACACGTGCACGGCCGCAGCTTGAGCCTGGAGCCGGCGACTCTAGCGAAGCGCAGCGACCCTTCTAGCGCTCTCGGACATATTCGCCGAACTGGCGACCAACGGAACGGTGGCGGGCGATGGTGGTGACATCTAGCGGGAGGAAGCGTGACGAGGTGTCCTGTGGAGCATCCAGAAACCATTTCATATTGCAAATGCGGAGGAGCATTGGTTGGCAAGGCTGGCTCGGAAAGCCAAGCGGGTCTAGAGTTTCCGGGCTTCTATTTAAGAGCCAGGGATTGGGAATGAATCGGCTATAGCCCCGCTGGCCGTCAAGGACAAACCAAAATATGTTCAACAGACAGGGGAACCAGCACGTGGAATTACATAAATAAGCTATTGCCATCGCATCACCACGCAGCACTTGTATCCAATCTACCGTATAACTGTAGATATGTAATCACTGAGCGAAGTGGTTCAAGATCTCGCTTACTGCGATCCAGCATTGGAGGTGCATGTGCACGGTGCGGGGGGACTGGTGTGTTATTGCATGAAGTCATCGGATGACCCATGTGGGGTCATCCGATATCACATCTTGTTTTGTGCTCACTTCTCATCTGCATCATAGTTTTCGTAGTCTAGAAAATCAGTTGAATATACGGCGCGGCATACCTGCGGTCATGCACACCGACAGATAAAACTGACCGAATCTAGTCAGGCAGCTTGGATAGCAGCCAATAGATGGCGTGCATTGCAATGTGGTGCGCCGGGTAAGTTGTCGCCAAATGCCAGGTGGTGACTGTGAAGGACATGGCCAGTAACACGCAATGGCAAGGACGCTGAGGCTTCAGGAAACCGGGGCTGGGTGTCACCGGGACTCTGGAGAACTCGGGGAACGGGGAAGAGGACAGGCCTGCAGGAAGTTTTCTCGAGGCTGGAACCTCCGAATACTGTGTGGACAGTGTGGTGTATGTTCATGAACAACCAGTGAGTCCTGGGAGCCCGACCGCCGCCTAGCAGCCGGTCCTCTCGCCTCCATCAGACGAGAGCCCGTCTGCAGAGGGTCCTGCTGTCTCAAAGCTAAGCTCCCCCTCACGGCCAAAAAGCGTGATTAGTTCGAAAACTGAAACTAAGTGCCGCTTTGCGAGGTACCAGCCGTCAATCCCAATGCGGTATTGCGTCGCTCGCAGAAAACGTATCAAACGGGATGTCGTTGAACATTAGTGCCACCTGCTTAGAGGATTAAATGGGGCCACCGGGGTAAAAATACTGACTTCACGGCGTTTCGCCTTTCCAAAAGTATGGGGAGCTTGACAGCAGAAAGAGAAGTGAAGAAAAGCCCATTTTCACATTTCCAAAAGGCACGCAGCGTACATCTTTCCGCACCTTTCAGTAGAGCGCCAGCGACTGTGCAAACCATGTAAGCGCCCAAGCGTAACAGCGCTACCTGAGTTCGGACCAGGATCCCCCACGTGGGAACCGGAGGTGCTAACCATTCAGCACTTCAACTTTCACAAGGGATGAAAATTGCTGGAAAATTTAGACACTTATGGATTTCAAAGCAATGCGTGCAATGCCTAAATGTTAGTTAAGAAAAAGGCGTGATGATATTGAGGCTGCCTCGCTGGCCAAAGTTGAGGTTCTCCAACCTCTGTGATCCATTATCACTTGCTAATGAAACCCTTCGTCAGACGACGTCGCCTTCACTATGCTTCTATCGATGCCTTGAACGCATCCACCATCTTTTGCAGCAAAGCGCGCCTCAATACACGCACAAACACGGACGTCATACTTTGTGCTCTGTTTATTCGAATAGACACCAACGGCGTCGTACAAAAGTACAAACTGGAGAGTTTTGAGACCGGCCACTGGCGCGTCTCAACTCCGAACGACTACATGGCAGCAGCTGCGAACTTCTAGTGCTCTGGCACATCCACAGATGGCGACGCAGCGTATGGCATCATTCAGCGTCCACTCACTGCAATGATGGCAGTGACGTTTTGCATGATCTCCCAACCAAGGCTTGACAGTACGTACATACGGAGGAGCTGAGCAGGGTTAGAATACAGTAGCGTGGCAGGGAGACGTGCAAATAGGGCACATCTGGATGAGTCGCGTACCAGTATGTCGCGACGCCAATGTCGACCTACGCTAGTAATCAAGCGAAAAGGGCATCCGTCACAGTCAGACAAACAATGAGTTCATTCAACATCGGACAACTGCTCGCTCTATGTGATCTAAAGGTCCGCGAATAGGGAGAAAATTTGTCTCCAACTAGCGCAAAAATTACCCTGATCCTAGATGCACCGACAGCGTCTTGCTGCGCAATTAAATCGACATCGACCCCGCCAACGGGCTGGATTAAGCCGCCAGTAGGCAACGGACGTCTGCGTTCGCTAAAGTCACCCAAGTGACAATGAAAACAGTTGAGCGTTGACTTCTGCCAGCTGCAGCCCTCGGAGCCGCCGAGATCGCCCACAGATGGCAGCACGGGCGAGCTGACCCAGCGATCAATGCGCACCACCCCCCGCATAGGAACGAACTTGAGTCTAACTCTGACATGGAGAGGAGCCAGCGGACCCCTGACCCCCATCTGACAGGGCCGTGCCTGCCACTCTGTCACAGGGACCCCATGCACAAACAGGTACATCGAAAGGAGCGACACCAAGCGCGGCAGACAAGCAGACAAACACGCCCAAGCTCGCTCGTTATCACATACGCGCTGCTAGCTAAACACAAACACGTAGGCGGACCAAGTGGACGCCCGTGACGCTGGCAGTGGGTTGACGTGACGTGACGTGACGTTACGCGACGCGACAGGCGGCGGGAGCGCGGGTGGAGCGAGGACGCGGCAGCCGACGTAGCCCCGAGCGGCCCGCGCCGCGATATGAGATCACCTGCTGGCCCGCGGGGGCGCAGCAGAGGAGCGGCCAGGGCCTCGCTGCGCGGCGCCGACGAAGCCGGCCCGACCGGACGGCGTCCGGGTGGGACCACTGCGGAATTCTCGCAAGGCGATGGCACAAACCTCGCAGAGAACATTTCGGACTCGATGGCAGGGTCCTTGCGTGAATTAGCATGTGCTGGTTCTGAGATCCGGGAACAAAACGGCAAAACAGGAACATTTCGCCGATCTGAGACAGACCCCACGTCCGGCCCAGAAAAAAGAAATTACAGGCCTGCATTACTGGGGGACGAAGCGGCCCAGGAAATACAACAGTCGGCAGGGCGGGTGTGTTTCATCAGTTTGCAATGTCTTCGCTCTGCACGTGGTTTAAAGATCACGATTTGATACGCACACGCCGACCGCGTGCAGTGACGGATGGTTGAGATCATTTGAGCGGGCTGGCGGCTTCAGCGCAGCTGAAGACAGTCCTTTACAACGTATACCAACAAACGCTTGGCGTGATGTGCAGAAGTCACCGCGATTAGCGGAGATGTTCAGCATCAATTGGTGGGGCAGGCAGTTGGCTGCCGCTTCTCTCTACCGAGTGTGTGGCCCTTAGGCGGTTTTGTTGGGTAGCAGGAGCTTCAGGCACTCTTAGACGGTGTCCAATGGACAGTATAAACAAACTAAACCGGAAGGGAGAAGCACACAGCACACTGCGCAACACAGGGTCAACACATGTCTGGGACACGAACCCAGGCGAAAACAAAACAGCCTCGAGTAAGGAGATGATGAGTACACCGCTGTCTATGGAGGACTGGCAGGCCGCCAGCAGGGGCAACTCGCCGGGAACAGGCTGCGGTCTCAAGCGCCGGCTGTGCCGTCTCAGCACCGCAAGACGACAGATCAAGACACCGGCGCCGAAGACAGATCAGACGGTGGCTTCGAAGACGGATGAGACACCGCGCCGAAGACAGATCAGGCACCGGCCCCAAAACGCATCAGGCAAGCGGCGCCGCAGACGACAGATCAAACGTCAGTGACGAAGACAGATCAAACAACAACTCCGGAGACGGATGAGACACCGGCGCAGAAGACAGATCAGACAGCGGCGCGCAGCGGCGGCCCAACGCCGGGTCGGCCTAGGTCGGGTCAGCGCCTCGCCCTAGGTACAGCGCCGGACTAGATGTCGACCGAATATCCGGCGCCAGCTCCAGCTCCAGCTCCAGCGCCAGCACCAGCTCCAGAGCCAGCTCCAGCTCCGTTGAACGCGCCGCCGCTCCGGGATCGGCGTCCCGGGGTCGCTCAGCTGGAAGGTGGAGCAGGAGCGAGGTCCACCGCCAGAGACCACCACCAAAGGTCACTGATAGAGGTCACCAACCAGAGGTCACCACCAGAGAAGGTCCACCACCAGAGGTCACCACCAGAGATCACCACCAGAGATCACCGCCAGAGATAATCGCCACAAGTCATTGCCCAGAGATCGCCGCAAGAAGTCACCACCAGAGATCGATGCCAGAGGGTCACCCGCCCCGAGATCACCCCAGAGATCGCCACAAGAGATCACCGCCTGATATCACCGCCAGAGATCACCGCCGTCATTGCCAAGGCCGACGGACGAGCTCTGAACAGTACACTCGGAACGGGCTCCGCCGACGGGACGTGCTCTGAACAGTTCACACTGCCACGGATGCAAACATGGTCTTCACTAGCGCTCTGAAATCGAGGCTGTCGTTGTTCGTGACAGTATACACCAGGCTGAATCGGGCCAGGGTTCACTCAAAGGTGATCGCGTAGACGTATCTCGATTTGTTGTATTTTCTGCCACAGAAGCCCACCTGGCATTCTGACACAAACCTTAACATCCCGTGGCCTCCAGTCCAGCATGCTTGTGTCTGCCTCTGTCTCACCTGAGCCAGCAGCCTGGCCCTGTCCAGGCACTGGTACTCGACCCCGGACCGCGGCTTCTGCGTCGCCATAGACCTCGGTGAATTAGAGCTTTCAGAGGTGGCCGACAGAGGGACTCTCGCAGCCGACACCGCCCGCCCCTTCGCGCGTGATGTCTGAGAGGGGGGGGGGGGGGGGAACAGGGAATGAAAGTTAGCTCAACATGCTTAACATATTTGAAAGGTTGTGGGGTCATCGACTCTGCTTCATTAGTGCTCATATAACACCACAGATCACAAAGCGTCGATCAAAACAGATATAGGATGCTTCAGCCTGCAACCAAGACGTCCTATATAATTCCCTGGTGGCTACCCAGCAAAGATAACCCCTACCAATAATTGCCACAACAATGACACTGTCCTTCCAGAGGCTTCGCAGTCAATCATTTTCCGAGCCTGGGCCACGCCGCGAACGCCGCTGCGCGCGCGCGTCGTCACAGCTGCCGCTCCTGCGCCAGAATTTCCCCCCACTGCATCCCACCGGCGGCGTTGAGCTTGGCGCGTGTGACGTCACTCGCAGCCGGGCCGGAAGACGATGAGGCCGTTGAATCGCATGACGTCACTCCGCTGTCGCAGGATTCAGTGGATGTTCGGACCCCTGGCAGTGCTCCACAGCTAAAGGAAAAAACGGACGCAGTTCAGAAGCATCCCCAGGTTTATATTGAATACGATCACTGCAAGGCGTTATGTGTCCTTGAATAGCATATTATATAACATGCAGAGAACCAGAAGTAACGAAGCTCATGGAAAAGGGACAGCTTCATAACCAACTGACCTCAGCCCGCCAAGCTTACTGAAGTAATTAAGAGTAATAGTACCAGATAATTAATACTCAGCAATTGACCGTAAGAGAATAATAAGGCGACGAGACTTCTGACACATCGAGACTGGAGTAGAGAGATGCAACTCCGCTTTATTCGCCAGCAAACACCCCGCTGAACTGAACGAACTCAAACAAACAAGCAAACAAACGCACCCAATCAAAGGTTCTTTGTGCTTTGCCCGTTGAAAGCCGTCAAGCATCCATAATCAACAGAATAACTGCAAGACATGCGGACACCTGCAATACCTAGACACCGACAAACCGTCAAAGAGTTCGTCAGGCTCCGTTATTGGTCACAACACAATCTGGCAACTAGTGCGGTTTGTGTAGCATCTTTAAAAATAATTTTTTGAGGCCACACGTCAACGACATGATCTTCTTGAAATAAGATATCCACCTAACCTGTCCCCCTCCCCTTATCCTATTGCGCTAAAAGATGTCACGCGTTGGCACTATGATGAGTCAATGAAGGGCCTGCGGCAATAGTAAGCGGGAAGAAACATCCGGTCAATATATAAAAATCTGGCCAAATACAGGGTCATCCTCACCCAACTTAGCGTGCTAGAAAAGGCCCCATAGGAGTGCACAAATCACAACAACAACGACTTGGAGCCAAGAGTGGCGGGTTCGACAAGACCCCGGATCACACTCACCATCTGACGACGGGAGGCGGCGGGCCGGCGGTGCGGCTGGCCGCCAGCTGCCGCACCCGCTCCGGCTTGGGGCTGGGCATGGGGCGGCGGCCGAGCGACAGCGAGCGAGTCGCCAGCTGGCGGCCCGACTCTGCAGAGCGCGAGCGCCGCAGCCGGCCGCCGGCCGGGCCGCGCGACCGCCGCCGCATCTCCAGGTAGTCGCCGCCGACCGGCGCCGGCGTTGCACCCGTCGGCGGCCGCATCGGCACGTAGTCCGCCGCCGCCGCCGCTGCCGCCGCCACCCGCTGCCGCCGCCGCCGCCGACGACGACGACGTGGAAGGCGCCACCCACCGCCGTCGGCGCGTTCACGTACAGCGGCTGCGCGGGCGCGTTGGCGTAGCCGGTCTGCGCGCCATCTGTGGGCGGCTGCGGCGCGTTGACGTACGTCGGCTCGCCGCCAGGTGGCAGCGCCGCGGCTGCATTCGCGTACTGGTGCTCGGCGGCGGCCTCGTCCCTGCTCGGTGGCGGCGCCAGGCCGGGCAGCAGCGGGCCGGTCTGGCGCCGGCTCTTGTCCACCACAGCGTAGGCGGGGAGGCCGGGCCGAGAATATAGCCCAGTGCCGAGAATCAGCTCCGACGGCATGGGCGCGCTCAGCTGATCGCCGTCGGCAACGGCGGCCGGCAGCTCCAGCTGGCCTGTCGGCAGCGCAGGGCGCGGTCAGATGGCGCCGCCGCCGTGGAGAGGTGCCGAGAGCGGTGGGGCGAGAGACGCTAACATACTGGACGCAGGCCAGGCCGGCGACATATGACACTGTCGGAATGGATGCAGAACAAGGCATTTAGGTATTTTGGATTCTATGCATTTTGGTGGTTGAGTGATGTTAAGTTGAGTGATGCAGGTTAAGGTGAGTTGAGCTCGTTCTGGCTCCTTAATACAATCAAAATAAAGCACAACATTCGAGCCCAAGGTCGTTTTTGGCTAGCCGGCTTGTCGGGGTTGTGATCAGCTGACGGCTAGTCAGTAATGCAAAGTTTTTGTTTTGATTGCTATGATGAAACACAAAATATGTTAGCAATCAAAATGCGATGCACAAGCATATTGAGTGTCACAAATTAGGCAGCCAACGAAAATAAAATACAGCGTCGGTGGCGCGTAAAATCATATTAAGTCCTTCCGCATAAAATTCATCGGAACGTGTTTGATTGCAGCTAAAGCGCCAAGGGAAATCATCACCGTACAGGTTTCGGACTTGTGTAAATGAATCAGTTTAGCTAGGCTACTTCATCTTGGAGGGAAAACGCATGAGTGACGGAAGTGCTGGCGCTAGCAATTCCATTGGGCTTTCGGCAACAGAGTTTAGCCCTTCTGCTTTCATCGGAAAAGCCCAAGAACAACGTGGTGGGCCCAAAAATCGGGAGCACCCCGGCAAGTTAGCATACATGGCTCCCACCAGGCGAGACCCTCTGAACAAACGGGAATAATCCAAGACCAATGCACATGAATAAATTGCCCCTGCGCGATAGACTGCTTTGGCCGATGGAGGCATAGATCCTTCGACACTAGGGTAAGGTTCTCCTAGAAAAGATGAAGTGCCAGAGAGTTCAGACCAATGTGGCCGGCTCATCGGCAATCAAGGGTGCCCGAGCAGGTTAACAGAAGGGATCCAGGCAAGAGCGCAAGGTTCTCTGTATATGGAGTCATGGGCCAGTGAGGAAGCCCCTGAACAATCAAGTGCGCCGCGGGACGCTGACTTCGGTCAAGGCCGATCAGACCACTAGGCTCGGGCGGTCAGACTCTGACCTGTGTTGGCGTTCATCACTGGCATGCGTCCGCTGCCGTCGACTCTGTGCCGCGCCGCGGGGGCCACCGAAGCCACCGGAGCCACCGCCGGAGCCGCAGCGGGAGCCGCGGGAGCCGCCGGCGTCCGGTGGCCTCCGCAGGCGGCGCACGGACAGGCTGGCTGCTTGTAGAGGCCCTCCGGCTCGGCGGCGCGCTGCCGGCACACCTGGCAGGCGCGCGGCGTCTGGTACCAGCCGTCGGCCGGGCCCGGGTCCTCGTACAGGTGGTCAGAGACGCCATCCGGACTGAGGCGGCGCGCGCCCGTCCGCGGTCGGTCGTACGCCGCCGCCGGGTCCGACCCGTGCACCTCGGCCACCGTGCGGATCAGGTGACCGCCTTCGACGGCGCCCATTGGCCGCGCTGCCGCGTCTGACGCGCTCATTGGTCGGTGGGCGGACCCGGGCGCGCTGATTGGCTTCTCGCCCGGCTCCTCGTACACGTGGTCCACGAAGCGGCCGCCCGATTGGGCCGAGGCGGGCAGGGCCGCGACAGGATGCTGGTGAACGAGGACAGCGTGTTACATGGCCAAAAATCATTGTGACCGGGTGTTATTTAAACACGCAATGAGGTTAGATGCTTCACTGGACATCGTAAAAAAGCGACAGCAGAAATAAAGAAGGGTTGTGGGTCGGCGCCCGGGACGGCTAACGGGGCCGAAACCACCCCTAGCCTAGGCTATGCCTAGGGGATAGCTAACGGGACCGAAACTAGCCTCTCTTCGAGTTAAGGGACCTACACCAGATACTGGACAATTTCGCAGGAATTTGGTCTTAATTTACAGGACGTGGAGCAAAATCCCAACCCTCCTCTCAGAGGAAAACTTTGGGGAAGTGCCTGGTCCGCACCTATTCATTTGAAAGCTCCTCAAAATGTCTACCGAGTGCAATGAACAACATTGAACTTTGGCGTTCCACAACGCCGTGAATGTACTCAAGTTGCGCTTCTCGCAATTTTACGATATGCATACGATGCGTTGCATGAGTCAAATCAGGGAAAGGCCTGCTGAATCTTAAAATGCACACACCGCTTTGACACAAAATAAAAAGCCACCGACACGAAATTAAAAATATGACACGAAATATATAAAACCACCGATCCTCGGCACCAGTAGGCCCACTCACCGCGGTGTAGGCGCCCGGGTCGGACCCCGTGCCGTCCAGCACGCCGGTCCTGCGAAGACTGCTACGCGTCGTCTTGATGGCGCATGCGCAGTCGGAGCTGCAGCGGCGGCCGGGTCGCGGCGAGCGCAGCGACTGACCCGAGACAGAGGGGCGGAGCCGGCGGGGGGCGGAGTCAGAGCCGCTGCTGCCGGCCGACACTTCCGATTGGCCGTCGCCGTTAGCTCGGCAGCCGTCGATTGGCTCGTACTCGAGGTCACAGTCGTCGCTGGACCACGTGCTCCACTGAGAGCACAGACGGACAAAAGAGTGATTAATGACTACATTGTTCATGTCATCATAGTATAGCTGCAGAAGCTCAAATTACTTAAGATCCGATCAGGATTGCGCAAACTGGAGCGATGATATGGTCCGTGCGCACATTAGGTTTTTAGTGGTGTTTTCGGGCGCGTCAGCTGGAATGGCAATTTTGCGCCCAACGTACATTACATTACACATGGAGGAGGCTCCTTATGAAACATAGTCGAAGCGCAAAAAGTGAAATTAGGAGTTACACAGCGTGTCATTAAGCACAAATCGCTGATGACGCCGCTGGGTTCCTCTCATGACAAGCAGCACGACGGCGTTTTGCATTCATGGTTCAATGAGAGTCGAAGCGGGCACTACATTCTGGGATGTTGCGCCTACACAGCGTAACCAGGCGAGAGAGAGTTTTCGCTCTACGTAAACAGTGCATGACCAAGAAGAATAGACTTTAAAATGGCCGAAAATGCGCAATGTAAATTATGGATGCCCCTTGACCACCTGGCTTAACATTTCTCCCCCAAGCAGTGCAAGTTTCCGTTACGCGTAGATCTCACTGAACCCCCGCCCTGTCTGAAAGGGGAGGAACGCTGAGGCAGCCCGCTCAGGTGTTCTGACAATACCTCCCTGGCGAGTTGTGTAACCGCTCCCAAGTTTTCAGTAAGATCTGGTACGTACAGCGTGCGTGTTTTGGCACCAAAACAATGTATCTGGCACTTGTGACTGATAAGCAGAGACGAGTTTTATTAGCACTACACGGCGAATTCTAGCCGGCGCGGTCAGAGGGCGAAAACTAACCAAACCACGTACCAAAATACCTAAAACTCAACAAGGAATGTGAACCAATAGCTGTAATATTGCTACATGGCATGGTTTCGTATAATTGGCATGAACAACTGAAGCAGCCAGATTTCCCTGAAAAAATACTACTTGACCTGATCCGGTAGGCTGGATCTTTAACCCAGTTGCAAAAATTCGTAACAAACTACGAGATCCCGCTGAAGCCATCGCACAGCTGTTCTTTTCCTGCGAGGCTCTATCATGCTCAGTTATAAAAAGAGAAGGGACCGCACCGACACCTCCCCTTCGCGTTCCGGTCTTTAAAAAAAAAACGCGAATCAGGGCGAGGGTGAACGTCGATTTCTAGCACCTTATTCCCTGCTTTCGCTACTACATGTCTCATGGCAAGGATGAATGACAAGTCTCGCGCAACAGTGCGTTGCGAGATAAGCACGCCATCGCATAATTAGATAATCAACACAGTCGACGACAGAGGCTGTCCAGCTCGCCAGCATACAAGAGGCGCCTAACATGCGCACTTCTCTCCTTCTTGCAGAAATGATTTTCAGACAGAATGACCTAAGGCATGCGTGTTAGGCATGACTTCCAGAGTCTTAAATTTAAAGCCCTTTGGAGCCATTGAGATACGCTCCACGCAAACATGCATGTTGCACACACAAACATCACGGTGATAGGTCTGGCCGGGCGCTTTCACAAAACGCCAATCAGCCCCCCCCCCCCCCCCTCCAACCCGCATCCCACTGCTGCCACCAAAGCAGCAGCCTGTGCTGCCACCTGCCGTCAGCGGCGTCTGACCTGCAGGCTGGCCTGCCGGCAGAGGCCGCTCTCGCGAGAACGCGCCAGCGTGCTGTCGCGGCTGCAGCTGCGCGACACCGTCCGTCGCGAGACGCCGCATGGACTCTCTGCGGCCGGCAGGACGCGGCGCGTTAGAGGCCGCGGCGCCGGCCGGGTCGCGCGCTACAGTTGCAGCGCACGCAGCGACACCACAGCCCAACAAACTGTGCGATGTTGCATACAGTGGGCCGCATCTAAGATTGCTAGGACGTAGTGTTTAAAAATGTTT